TAGTTCGTACTAATAATGTGGGGGTGAAATGGGAAATAGGGTTTGATCTAATTAGATCTGTTCTTGTATGATTTGATTTGATAGGATCTAATCTAAATTCTATGAGATTTTCCACTCTTTGTGATGTACTCTTGAATAAATGATCAATTTATATACTAGCTAGAGAGTAGAGATTAATGAATGATTAATAATAATAGTTCGTACTAATAATGTGGGGGTGAAATGGGAAATAGGGCTTTGGTGAAGCTGGTAAGCGAGATGGGAGATAGGAAATGGAGTATGATCGCGAGGAAGATGGTGGGTCGAGCCGGGAAACAATGCAGGGAGAGGTGGCGCAACCATCTTCGTCCGGATATCAAGGTTAATTTCACTCCTTCCTTTTTCATACTTAAGCTTTTGTCTTTTCATTTATTAAGTTATTGTTTAATTTTATGAAATTTAAGAAAAATGTTTGAAGTAAAAGGGAGTGATTAAAATTTGTTATGAAGAAAGAGAAATATTATGAATCATACTCTCTCTGTCTCCAATTTAATTACAAATTGCGGTTTATGGAGTAAAATTTCTTACTTTTTGAAACCATTTTATTTACAAATTGGTATATCAATAATATATAAAAATTACATATTAAAAAAACTACGTCAAAAATTTTACAAAACAAGAGGTGACAAGAATATTTTATTTTATCAAATACTTAATGAAATCGCATAAACAAACAAAAGTTATCGAGAGAAAAGAGAAAAAAAATTGTAATCTATTTAGGGATGAAGGGAGTATGTTTTTTTTATTAAGAAGTGGAGAATTGAGATAATTTTAAGGACCGACTAAAAAAAATAAGACGATTAATTCAGAATGAAAGGAGTATGTCTCAAAAAAAGTTTTACCTTCAATTAATTTTTTTATCGCCACTTACTATTAACGTAGATATCACATCATATTTATTCAATCCGATTAACTAGAATAGGTCAAACTAGATTATACACTACTCTCTCTGTCTGTAAATGTTTTTCCCATTTGACTTTTAACGGTCTCTAAGATTGCACTTTGACTAGTAATATCTTTATTTATGCATAGATATATTTTAAAAAATTTCATATTTGAAAACTATATTTCAAAAAGAACATATTCATATTAAAGTTATGTCGTAATACATTTGATATTTGAAAACTATTTTTCTTATTTTAGTTTTTGTCTTTTTATTTATTATGTTATCGTTTAATTTTATGAAATTTTTTTTAAAAAAAAGTGTTTGAAGTAAAAAGTGAGTGATTACAAATTTTTCTAAAGAAAGAGAAATGTTATGTACCACATTTTCTTTTTTATTAAGAAGTAAAGAACTGAGACAATTTTTTAGGATCGACTAAAAAGAAAAATGAGACGATTAATTCAGAACGGAAAGAGTATGTCTCAAAAAAATTCTACTTTCAATTAAGAAATTTATTTTATCTCCATTTACTATTAACGTATATATTACATCATATTTATTCAAACTGATTCACTAGAAAAAGTCAAATCAGACTATACATTGCAACGGAGAGAAGAAAAAAGTAAGACCAAATGACCTCCCCAATGAGATTCGTAAGAAAGTCTCAGGAATCGACTAAAGACTCCCTTCTTGAGACTCAACCATTGAGAGTTGAGACAGGCAAAAAGTGATTAAAGTCTAAAAGTAAGTCTTTGCAATCCCAACCTCACTTCCAGAGCACTAATTAGCTCAATCTATTCAATGAAAATTAGATACTTGCATTTAGTAATAATTACTCCCTCCGTTCCAGAGTATTTGTCCACTTTCATTTTGCACATCATCCAATGCACTTTTTTAATCCATTTTATCTTGTAATTTGTATATTAAAAAATTATAGAAATTATATATTAATAATCTATATGTTAAGACAAATCAAACAAGATCACACATGACTATATTTAGGTTTACACAATGAGAGAATTTGATGATTTAAAGTGCTTAGATGAACAATTTTAAAAGTCAAAAGTGGACAAATATAGTGGGACGGAGGTAGTATTTTCTAAAAATAAAAAATAGTTAAAATTGTTATGTGAAAAACCATGAAACCCCAAAAAAAAATCATAATGTTAAAATGCAAAAAATTAAAAAAAGCTAAAAACACTTGTTGTGTGTTTATCTATATTTTATACTCCGTACAATTTACATTTTATTTGTGTTAATTTAAGTAATTTTCATGAAATGTACTCATTTACTTTATGTAATTGGTGTGTTGGCTTACTAAAATGTTCTCTAATATTAATATATGAGGAGCACTCCAGCAATATTTAATGTTCTTAAACTTTTATAATTGTTAATTATATTTATAAATAGATTTGCTAAAAAAAACTTAATCTATAGTCCTACATACAATTATATACTCGTAATAGATAATTGTGTTAACATAAATAAAGTTAATGAAATAAAACATAGTGGGATGCTGATTTGATAAAATTTGGAAGAGTCTTAAGACTTCTTGCATTCCATGTGAATTCACATATATGACCATGTCTTTAAACTCAGTTTAAACTCAGAGTGAATTCTCAAAATGATCCTAAATTAATTTTCAATAAATTTATAATTGATATTTAGTCACTAAATAGACATTCCAAAATAGGAATATTTGCACTAAATAGCACTAATACTTAAGTCATTTTCCTAAATAGTACTTACATTATTTTATTCCCTAAATAGCACTTTATAATGTCCATAATGTCTAGAAATAACGAATATTTACTTGAATAATGACTAATGCATAATGACTAAAAGCATGGTAGTCAAACTCGCGAGTTGACTCGTACGAGTCTACGACTCTGAGGATCGCCGGTGCCTTACCGATCCGAGACAGCTGCAGAATCGCGAATTCCATGGAATCGTCTGGATCGACGATTCGACTCGCAGAAACGCAAGATCGGGTTCAATCGCCGAGTCTGCGAAGCCCAAACAGCGTCTCTTCAAAATCTCCTTCCAATTGCGTCTGGAATTGCAATTGGAAAGTCGCATCTGATCTGTTGCGACTCCCAATTCCGATCAGAAACATAGTATCTCCCTTTA